AGCTCTTACTTTTCTGAAAGGAGGGATAACAACCAGGAGAAAGGTGGGTGGGGCCTCGGGAAGGCTCTTTTGTGCCTGTCACTGTTACAGCTCCTGGCACCTGCTCTGTTAATCAATGAAGTAATCAGCATGTGACCTGAAAGGTTAAAAATATAAAGCCAGAGCTAGGGAGATGACTAGCAGGTAAGAGCGCTTGTTCTGCAAGCATAAGGACCTGAGTTCAGGTCCCCAACATCGGGTAAAAAGCCGGTTAGGGTCGCCCCTGCATGTAACATCAGTACTGTGTGCGCAGAGGCAGGTGGATTCTAACAGCATGCTGGCAGACTGCCAAAGCAAAACGGCAGCCTCTGGTTCAGTGAAGAGAACCTGTCTCCAGGCATAAGGCGGAGGACTGTAGAGAACACAATGTCCTATTCTGGCCTCTGTGAGCACAAAGTTTCACAGTCAGGTACATGCACACACCACACACACCACACAAATAAGTAAATAGATAATTTGGGGGGGGTTGTTTTGTTTTGTTTTGTTTTGTTTTTAGAAAGTCTTGAACCAAATGGACACTTGCAGGGAGCTGGTATTGCAGCCCAGGAGGGATCTCTCCCCGGATGACTCTGGGCATTCACTGAGAAGACCCCGGGGCAGAACCAAAAACCGGCCTTAATCTCATATTTTGTTCCACAGAGGCCCTCCATGTGGAGACTTTCCCCTAGAGGCCAACCTGCAGCCGGGGTGCCCCACCCGACCCCTACACACCAACCTGTGTAATCACTATAACTGCATCCCTCCATCCCCAACTAGGAGGTGTTTTAGCCCGTCCCCTGAGGGTGCAGTCGAGATGAGTGGCAGGTCGCTCCTCCAGCGTGAGAGAAGCAGCATCCGGACTAAGCCGCAGGCTTGACCGGCTCCCTGGACTTCCCTACAGGCAAGCGCCAGGAAGCTGACAAAGCAGTCCAGGACAGCCGTCCTTGCTGAGCGCGGCACTACCATGTTTTGCGCAGTGTCGTGTGCGTGGAAAACAGCTGCCAGGGCACCTCTCCGCGGTGCTGAGGACTGGGTGCGCGCGCATCTCCAGTGCAGCCACCGGGGGTTGGAAAGCGACTCTGGGCTCCACCCGCTCCAGCACTCCCGTGACGAGTTGAGTCCTGAAAAGTGCTTGCTCAGCAGCTCCCGGCACCAGCAAGAACTCGCTGCTGTCGGCGTGCACCCACGCTTTCTCCCCTAAGACGTAACCGTGTTGCCCTCTGATTTCAGCGTAGGGTCCTGGCAGGTTTTGCTTATCTAGGGCATCTCAGAGCACGGAGCTGTCCGGGACTCCGCTCGAGTTTGGGCTTTGAACAGAATCATTTGCTTCCTGAAACTAGATTTGTCCACATATTGTTACCTGGCAGAAATGTTAAAAGAAAAAAAAAAAAAAAGCGCCATTAAGGAGAAAGCTAAGGATCAGGGTTCGAATTCCAGAAACCATCTAAACCATAGAAAAATACTGTGCGTGGCCGGGCAGTGTAGAGACAGGTGCATCCTAGACAACCTAGCCCGCCGGGTTAGGTCCTGTCTCAAAAAATGAGGTGGAAAACACCTGACATCAGTCTCTGGCCTCTGCACTCACACGTATATGCACATACAACACACACCAGGAAGGGGAGAGGGAGGGGGGAGGGGAGGAGAAGAGAGAAGAAAAATGACTGCTAAATGAGACCTGGATCTCCTCTGGCCCTCCTCTGCTCTGTCCCTCTTTGACTGATGCTGCCTACATTTCCTGTGCTTCAGGATGGCTTTTTGGGCCTCTGCAGAACCCAGTGATCAGAATTGCCAGGCACAATAGAAGCTAAACTAACTTTGATGTCTATCTCCCGGGCTCCCTTAGGGATCCCCCTTAGGGATAAGATGTCACAGAGGATGCCTAGAAAGGCACAAACTAAGAAAAGACACAAGCAGATTTAGTAAAGAACACGAGGCTATGCCAAGTGCATGCCCATCTCCATACCGGGTCTCTCTAGGGAGCCGAGGCTAACCTGTCACTTCATTATATAATCCAATTGGCTTCACAGTCACAGTGTTCCTGTCTCAGCCACTCCAGGCTAGCATTACAGATGTGTGCTGCCATGCCTGGCTCTGTACTCCACACCCCCAAATACACTGAATTAGTAATAATAATAGTACAGCACCATTTGTTGAGAATTTATTCTGTGCTAAACATCTTCGTGTGTTCTCTCCTTTAACTCCCTCAACAAGACAAAGAGTGTGATGTTATTTCTATAGCATCTATGTTGTTGGGTTTAACAACTAAGGCACAGAAAGGTCATTTGCTTAAGGTGACCCTCAGTAAAATGTTGAGATTCAAACTCCAGTGCTCAACTCGCCAAACCTCATTTAGATGACCACTCCCATCTGAGTGGCCAACAGCTCTGGCCACAGTACCCATCACTAAATCACAAACCCCCCAAGGCACAGAAAGGTCATTTGCTTAGGGTAACCCTCAGTAAAATGTTGAGATTCAAAACTCCAGTGCTCAACTCACCAAACCTCATTTAGATGACCACTCCCATTTGAGTGGCCAACAGCTCTGGCCACAGTACCCATCACTAAATCACAAACCCCACAGTACTGATTCTCTGCAGAGCAAAGTGCACAGTAGACCCCCTCCCCCACACACACACCATTGCCCTCTCTTTGACTTCCCCACAACACAGCATACCTCAGCTTCTACAAAACAACCTACGGATTTCTGTTTTTGTCTGTCCCCAGTTTCTGCTACCCTTAACAGTCTTTAAAATGCGACTGGCTTGTAACACTTGTGGGACCCACTACCATTTTCTTCCCTGGTAGAACAACTGCACTAAACAAAGGTACTGACGCCACAAGTCACTGAGTGAAAGGACATATTGATTGGATTCCCATCAATGCTCAGCCTCTGTTGAGGTTAAACTTCACCTCTACCTTGCTCCTCCTTCTTCTGCAATGTATAACCAGGGAGAGCTGGGGACTCTGACTGGTCAGCTACTTCTCCACACTCAGTACAGGACTTGGAATTGAGAGGACAGCTCCCAACCCACACAATGACAGAAGATAAGGTAAGCAACCTTGGGTTTGCCTTGAATTTGGCTTTGAGGAGATGAAAGGAATCTGTTCAAGTTCATGAGTGTATAAAGCTTTTGGAGATACTGGGTGTAGTTACCACAGATCCAAGCTTTCTCTCTTCACTCGTCTAATTAATAATTCATTTGACTTCTAACAAAAAACTGTGTGTTATTCAGCAATTGGAGTTTTAAGCACATTTGCTGTTTTCTGGCTAGTCTGCATAGCTTTCTCTCAAGTGATTCTGCATAACCTATTGGTAAAGGATTGTATTCCTGTCCCCCAAATATAGGGCCAGTTAACTTGAATTTAATCATGAAAACTAATCTGGACTGTTCAAAAATGCAATGTATGAAAACAAAAGAGGGAGAAGGATTATTGTAGATTGAAAGAGACTGGGAATTGGCAACAAAATGCTACAAGGGAACTTAGACAGTAGAAAGAAGAAAAGAGTTTACAGTGCACCATCTGGGTAAAGCTGAGGGATTCTGACTACAGCTGAATCTAGCTAATCAGTATTAGTACTCTTAGGGCTCATCAGGGGACTGTGGCTCAGGAGAGCTGGAGGGTCACTCAGGACATGTCCATAATGTACAGAGAATTCAGACACAGGTTTTGGCCTGTGGGTCCTCTGTTTCTTCAGGCGAAAATGGAGGATTAAGACGAGCATCTGTTGCTGTCTAAATCCCCTTTCAGTCTGAAAATTCTACAGTATGAAAAGTCCTTGACCTTCTCCAAAATTGGGTGTGAGATCACCTTTGGCCTGGCTTTTTTGAAGCATGTAGTTTGGACGAAAGTGCTTGAGTTTTTTCCTACCAGGTCAACTAGTAGTTGCTAGAAAAATCTCTTTTACTCAGCGGTGAGGGGTTAATATCATCAGCTGAGAGTCCCCTCCTAGGATATCTGCCCCAGACCAGCCGCGTCCCCTCAAACCTCTCTAAGCAGGGTTTCCTCAGCTGTGCAGTGAGGATCATCTCATGTGCTTTGCGGTTTTATTGTGAATATTAATGTTGATGTATGAGAAGTTGATAGATGAAAGGCATGACCCATGCCTTTAATCCCAGTACTCAGGAGGCAGAAGCGGGCAGATCTCTTTGAGTTTGAGCCCAGCCCGGCCTACACAACAAGTTACAGGTCAGCCAGGGCCACACAGTGAGATCATCTCTCAAAAAGAGACAAAAGTTGATAGATGGTTGTGTGACAAGAGCAACCCTTGAGCCGATGGGGGGAGGGGAGGAGAGATGCATTTCTGCATTTCTTCTATAGCCCTCTGTCTGTTTAAAAGAAGACCATATTATTTATTTATTTATTTAGTTATTTATTTATTTTGTTTTTACAAAGAAATGAGTCAATACACTTTGGACTCATCTTTTATTAACAGAACCAATAATTCAGCAGTTTGGGGGTGGGGCTGAATAGGCAGAAACAATAGATAAACCCTACCCAAGGTGCCTCCTTAGCACAGTGGGCCACACACCAGTCTATGAATAATCCTACCCAACACCTGTTGTTACAACCATTTTACATGTAAAAAACAGATAGTAGAGGCTCGGGGATAGTAGAGATCCATATAGAACCCTTTTCTAAGTTTTCTGACTTCCACATTTGTTTTTGCCAATAGATGACATATGACTTCTAAGCCAAAAGATAAACATCATATTTTGTTTCATGATAAGACTCAGCTATTTACCTATTCATTTAAAATTTCTTAACATTTATGTGTGTGCACACATGTGGAGATCAGAGGACAGTTAGCAGGAGTCTGTTGTCTCCCTCTACCATGTAGGTCTGGGGACTGAACTTGAGTTATCAAGGTTGACAGCAACTTCCTTCACCTGCTGAGCCAGCTCACTGGCCCTATGCTGCCTGACTATTCTAACCTTGTACATTTATCTGTGGCATATTTTAAATTGGACATGGGAACCTGTTTAACCAAAAAACTATCAAACCTTAAGTAAAAGTTGACCTTTATTAAAGCGCCAGCTTAGTACCTTGTATCCTGTGAAGTTTAGAGAAAAAGACTTGAAGATTTTCTGCCACTTATTTATGTGCCCCTGTGTAAGTTACTTCCATTTACATGTTTCCCCATGTGTGAATAGATAACTCCTTTCTGCAGAGTCATTGGCAGAATAGCAAAACCTTCAGGACCCCAGATCCTGGATGGAGTGAGGCCTTCTCTGAGTTCACATCACTTTAATTAGCTCTCTTTACCTATCTCGTGCCAATCTCTTTGACATTAGAATGACTGGATGAAGATGGAGGGGGCTGTTTTGAACTTAGTAGTTTTCAGAAAATTTCCCTCTCATAAACAAAACTCTCTCAGACCAAATCTGTTGCCACCCCACCTAGACAACTCACAGATGCATGGAGAGGTATTCTTGGTTTATCCAAAGGGGTTAAATCTAACATCAAGCATTCTTAAAAGGCAAGAACTTTCCTGGCTGTTGTCAGCATCTGAGAGATGCCATATATCAAGGACTTGACCTGACATCATTGCTGACAGTGAAGATGGAGGAAGGGTGGCGTCAGCCAAGAAACATGGTGGCCTCAGAGCTGAGAACAGCCATCAGTTTATAGCCAGGAGGAAAACACAGAGCTCAGTCCCCCTACTCTGAGGAAGTAAATTCTACCATCAACCCAAATTTTCTTTGACAGACTGCAGAAAGGAACATGGCCTGCTAGTACCTTGATTTCAGTCTGCAGAGACTCAGACTGGCCTTCTGACCTACATAGCTACACAATAAATTAGCTTGTGTTAAGACACTGAGTTGGCAGGAGTTTGTCACAGCATCAACAGAAAACTAACACCCAGAGTAAATGAGGTAATTCGTATACAGAAAGCATCCTCAGTACTGGGCTCTCAAGCTGTTTTGTGCTGCATCTCACAACAGACTGCCCATACAGTGGTAATGGAGATGGTGATGGGAGGAGGGTAGAGTCCTCCCAAGGTACCTGGTTCTTTACTGCTGCTTCTGATCACTACCTATAAACAAGGTAAAATCCCTGTCCTTGGAAACAGCTGGAGGTGGAGAAGATTTAAGAAGAAACCATCCATCCAGTAAATGGAATCTCATCTTAGTTTTGACTGCCCAATTCAATGTGTTTTAGATCTCATTACATTTTAGAGAATAATTTAAAAATCTTGCATGATACTATACATTATGTTCCATGTAGCATGTATGTGTGTGTGCATATACACATTTTAAATGTAATATGTTTAAGATATGCTTATATATAAGATATGCATATCTTCTTTTTTCAGATTAGTAAATAGTATATATAACATGGATATATACGTGCTTCTTCAGTTGTACACATGCTTATATATGTATATGTGTGTATGTATATGCATATATATGTGTATATGTATATAAAATATCTTTGACATGAAGGCCACCTAAAATCAGTGAAAAGAAGGGAGCTTTGTACACCTACGGATTCCATATCCTCACGCAAAATTCTAGTAGAGAAGAAGGTCCCTGGGTCTGGGAGCTACATATGTAATAAACTCCCCACAGTAGAGTCTTGTTTTAGAGCCACTGGGCTAAAGAACTCTGACGGTCTTCAGGATGGTTCTGTGATAATTCCTTGTTAATGATGACTGTGAGACTTCTGATCTCAAGCTGTATTGGAGCATTAGGGTCCCATTAATTAGTTATTCTTCATGCTGAAATGCAGATATTTATAATCCCACAATTCAGACAAAATCAAAGCTCCTATAGGGAATGACAGTTGAGTCACTTGAGGTAAAAGAAACTGGGAAATGGAATCCATGATAATGTGACTCACTCATTCACCCAACAAAAAACTGGCATAACCTGTGCTACGTAGTTGAAAATCTAAATTATATGGTTATATATTTGATATTTCCCTGCAAAATATCTAATAATATAAGTTTTAAAAATATTCCTTCACCCCCTTCTCTAACCTCACATTCCTCATCAAAGTTTCCATTTTGTTATTCATTCTTCAAGGAAACGTTCAATGTACAAGTCAGATAATATTTCTGCTTAAGCCCTTTTTAAAAAAAACATTAATGAGCTGAGGCTGTTGCTTAGTGATAGAACTCTCCCCTATGTGCATAAGGCACTGGAATTTCATTCCTAGCCCTGCAAAAATCAACGAGCCAATCAATTGGCAAATCAATAAGATTAACAACTTCCTTTACCACTTACAAGTGGGTCTGTCTGGGCATGGTGGTGAATGCCTTTAATTCCAGAACTCCAGAGGCAGAGACAAGGAGAATCTCTGTGAGTTCAAGGCTAACCTGGTCTATATAGTCAATTCCAGTTCAGTCAAGGATACATCATGAGAACCTATATAGAAACAGAAAACAAACCAAAAAGCAGGTCAGTTCACATGGTCATTTATTCTTTCTAACTGCTGCATAGCATACTGCACGTCTTTGGTGTGTGTTGGGATGTAAATAAATTTGGCCATTCCCACTGAATAACACTAGATAACTTCTTTCTGCAGTTTTTGCTCGCTCTCTCACACACGCTGCTATGCTAAATACCCTGATATGTGAATATGTATGTATAATAGGATTTCTGTATGCTAGTTAGATGAGAATTGTGAGTTGAATGAAATAAATGTTCTGTAGGGGTTTTTTTGTCGTTTCTTCAAGTTGGAAAAAAAATGTAGCTTAATTCACACCTCTACATTTAACTAGATGCAAATCTTGAAAAGCATCCTTGCCTGGATGTTGATGTGGATCATGATAAAGGCTGAGTGATGACTCTTAGATGAGTGTTGGGGTGTTTTGTACCATAGAAATGCCTAGAGTGCTCCCCATATCTTTGTTACTGATGCTGTTGCGTGACTGTTTCTGCCTCCGCGTTTTCTTTCCTTCAACAGCAATTCTAATACGTTCTGATTTTGAATCTTAAAAAATACTTATGTGAGCTGGCTGTGGTTCAGGAGGGAGGCAGGTGGATCTCAGTGAGATCAAGGTCAGCCAGGTTACATAGGAAATTTCAGGCCTGCTGGGGCTACAAGGAGACCCTGTCTCAGAAAAAAAAATGTGGGTCTGGTAATGGAATTCAGTTGGTACAATGTTTGCTTCACATGCCCAAATCCTTGGGTTTATTTCCTAGCACCACATAAACCAGGTATGATGGTACATGCCTATAATTTCAGTATTCCCAAGGGTAAAGGCAGGAGGGTCAGAAGTTCAAGGTTATTTTTAGCTACACATCAGGTAGTTCAAAATGAGCCAGGGCTAAAGAGCCTATCTGTCTGTCTGTCTCTGTCTCTGCCTCTGCCTCTCTCTCTCTTGCTCTCTCTCTCTCTCCCTCTCTCTCTCTCTCTCTCTCTGAATGTGAGTCTGAGTGTGTGTGTGTGTGTGTGTGTGTGTGTGTGTGTGTGTGTGTAAGAAACAAAAGAAGAAAGCTGTTTCTCTCCTGGATAAAGCTGTTGTCCATTTTTTTTTTCAGTTGTATCAATATAAAGAAAATGATAAACAATTTTCATGCTATCTTGTGACAGACACCTGTCCTGCAGAGCACAGGGCTGTTTTGCAGGGCTGTGACAGGGACAGAACCAACCTGTGGAGCCTGTAGGAAGTCCACACTGCAGAGAGATGGGAGGTTGGTGACAGAAGGTGCTGTTTCCCAGCTCTGTGTTTCATCCTACAGATCACTGGAACCTTGGCTTTCACCGTCTTCACTGCTGTGCTCAGTTCCTTCCAGTTTGGCTATGACATTGGTGTCATCAACGCACCGCAAGAGGCAAGTGAAACGTACAGGATTTGGGGAAAGCAAGTCCTGTCAGTTCCTCCTGCCCAGAGTATCATGTGTGCCTCACACACTGAGATAAACTGTGTCCACGTGGGAAAGCATGTAATCCTACACAGCCAAGTACAATGTGCAAGGGTCCACAGCTGATAACTTGGCCTTGACTCCTAGGTTAACAACCCTCCCAGTAAAAAAGAGCAGTCCACAGTTCTTAATCTCTGAGTCTGATGTCCTCTGAGCTCAGAGAACACACTAACTAGAATATCATGTGCTCAGGAGTGTTTAAAGGCATGAATTCCCTGCAACATTCAGAGTCTAAGGCATGAATGAAAAGTGTGAGGTAGTAAGAGGAAACACAGTGGGATGTGTTTCTTTCAGACACTCACCCAACACCTTATTTGCATCAGATTTTCCCCAACCAGTTCCCCATGACATTAGAACCCATTTCCAGGGCAGATTTGAAATTTTAGAAGCCTAATACCAAACAGATTGTGGTCTTTACCTCAGTCCTATATTACATAGGTGACTCAGCACAAAATATTACACAGTTTTAGAACAATGGTCAAGAGGTCCAACAACGTTTGGATTTTTTACATGGTAACCATTTGCACAGCAGTTTATAAGGAAACACATCAGATAATTCCTACCATTTTTATCATTTATTCTGCATATCCCTACGGAGTTATACAATGGATCCTCAGGAGAGGGTCCTGCTCTTCACATCTCCTACAGCCCCATTAGTTAGGGAACCAGAACGCCATGTCCCCGTGTCCCACTCAGACTGGGGAGGTCACTGAGGGCAGGATGGATGCCCTGCTCCTCTTCCAATCACCTGTATCAAACACAGTGGCTGCTACAAATAAGGGGCTCGGTAATGTGTTTAGTCATAATGGAGACTAAATGGGGGGGGGGAGAGAGAGAGAGAGAGAGAGAGAGAGAGAGAGAGAGAGAGATTAGACCGGGGAAGAGGTGGCATAAGGTAAGGAGGTGTTGTGTGCCTTCAGGCCATCTATCGTGTTCAATCTGTTTCCCTTATAGCTCTGAGGAAAATGTAAGATACCGCAGGGTGTGGATGTGTGGAACGTTGCTGGCCACTTTCCATTAGCTGACAAGGACTGCTCCTTGGGCTGAAAGATGTGTTCCCATTAAGAGCATATGATCCTAAGTGTGGCAAGTCTCTCACTCTGATTGCCCGAGAAAAATGCTTGGGGTGAGGAGACCAGGGTCATATATTTTTCTATGAGGATGACATAAGTGCTAATTTAGCAGGCCTCCTAAAATCTAGGTGAACCTAGACTCCCCCCTAGGAAAAGTTAGGTTCAGATCTCCCCTCCTTCAGTCCAAGTCCCTGAGCCAGAGCTGGAAACAGAGACTCTTACTGTCACTCAGGTGTGTGCGGTCTATGCAACCCCTCTCTCTTTCTACAGAGCTACTTACATAAGAATGGCCATTCAGGCCCTGTATTTTTTATTAGTTGAATGACATCTGGAATTAGTTTAAAGTATTTTTCAATCACAGTGTTTCAGGGGCATAAAAACTGCAGATGCTTGTTGAAAATATAAGAAAAAAATCACCTGCAATTATTTCTGTGCTACACTGTAAATTGTCAGGAACATTCTGGGTTATTCCCTTCCAGTTTTTCTCTATGCATATTATCCCTAGAGTGCAGCCATCTCATGAAACAGGTGTCTTAGTCAGACTTTTCATACCAGGATACAAATCTCTCTGCTACTCAACTGCTTTACCGAATAGGACTTTGTTCATAACCTGCAAGAGGGAGCAGCTTAGATCGAGGTCCCTGATAGAGAGGACCCACCAGCTCACTAAGGCTGAAATCACTGCTGACAAGAATGATGCGGAAGAAGACGATCTGAAGGACGTGCTTCTAAATTCTTTGACATGATACTTGCCGCTATGGAAGTTCATTCTAAAGTGTGGCTTGAAATTTAGCTTTGAATGTTGTTCCTTCTGGGATACACCGAGCTCCTCGTGGACCCCTAGGAAAAGTTTTTATGCCTTCCTCAAGTCCAACTACATTGTTTTTATCCTAGAAATTCATCAATCCTAGACCCCATTGTTTTTCTTCTTTGCCTTAAGCGCTAGGAAGTCTCTAACTAAATATATAGCTCATTTCTACCAAGGATGTAACACCTTAGTGTTTGAATTTTATATGGTTCAAAAACTTTATTTTTCACTCTGATCTTTGCCAGTGCCTTTTTTGTTGTTTGTTATTGTTGTTGCTGTTTCTATTAAAATCCTTCAGAAATTTAAATCCTCCATGCAAAAGTAACTCTGGCATACAAAACTATCTTCTCGGGGCTAGAGAGATGGCTCAGCAGTTAAGAGCACTGATTGCTCTTGCAGAGGACCCAGGTTCGATTCCCAGCACCCACATGGTGGCTAACAACTGTCTGTAACTGCAGTTCCAGGGAATGGGTTGCCCTCTTCTGACCTCCGTGGCATTTCACGATACAGGTGCACTTACAAACATGCAGGCAATACACTCATACACATAAAATTAAAAATGATAAAATATTTGATAAAACAAACTATCTTCTCTTCCTGAAGAATATTTTCAGTGTAAATAGTTGCCAACATTTGAAAAGATTTCATAAAAGCCCAGATTTCTGGCATTTTTCAGGACCACCCAATGTGAGTCTTTCCTTTAAAGCTGCCTCAAGCCAACCACCCACCGCCATCCATCGACTAGTAACAAATGTATTCAGTGTGCTGGTCTGGAGGCTATCCGTGTTTCACTAATTCATCTCTTCTTACCTTGCTCCTATTGGCTGAGCTTGTATCTCTGTTGTATAGGATTTGGTCAACTGTAAAGAAATCTACCCGTGTCTGTGTATGTACAGCACACATGGTCAGGAAGGCCCTATTTAATTACCTAACAAAAGCTTTAAAGGAAAATCAAATGATAGGTGTGGAATTTTGAAATATTGGCTTGCTTTCTCCTATTTCCTCAGGTACTAATAGACCATTATAGGACTGTTTTGGGTGTTCCCCTGGATGACCGAAGGGCTACCAACAGTTATGCTGTCAACAGCACAGACACTCTGCCCACAGTTGAACACCCAGTGCATGCAACGACAGCCCCTTGGGCCGAGGAGGAGACTGCAGGGTCGGATCACCTGATTACCATGTTCTGGTCTCTGTCTGTGTCCAGCTTCGCAGTGGGTGGAATGATCGCCTCGTTCTTTGGTGGGTGGCTAGGGGACAAGCTTGGAAGGTAAGCACATTTCATAAATAAACATAAACACAGAAACTTCAATACTTTGGTACTGTTGGAATTTGTATAGAGAGATACCATCTTCCCATCCATGGAATAGCTTTCAGAGTTGTTTTCCAGCTAATAACTCTACAAGGTCAAGGTTAGCTCAAATCAATAGAAAGCGCTGTTGCAATAATCTAGTAAATTCTAGTTAATTCCAGAGGTATTTATAGGAAAAATTAGTTTGATGAGTATTTCTAGAGACCCACTTTGATCTTCTGATTTTATTAAAGTTTTTAAAAATATTTTATTTATTATTTCTATTTTATGTGTATGAGTGTATTGCCTACAGGTGTGTAAGTGCACCCATGTTGTGCAATGCCGGAGGAGGTCAGAAGAGGGCATCCCATCCCTTCGAACTGGAGTTACAGATGGTTGTTAGTTGCCATGTGGGTGCTGAGAATTGAACGTGGGTCTTCTGCAAGAGTAGCCAGTGCTCTTAACCGCTGAGCCATCTCTCCAGCTCCTGGTTTTGTAAGTTTTAAAACCTGTTAGGAAACCACTACACAAAGAGTTAACTTAGGAACTCAGCCACAGAGCTTACAAAAATCATTGTTTGCTTTACCAAATTACACCATTTCTCAACCATCCCGTTTTCATTTTTAAATTAGAATTTGGCATTTGAATAGGTAAAGTCCTAAGGTCAAGTTAATATCCCCAACTCCCAGGGACTTCATGGACTTGGCATGGCTGCTCCTGCTACCCCAAAGCCCTGCGGAAGATGAAGCACTTCTCAACTCCAGTTCTTAGTCCATGTTTAGGATTAAACATCAGTAGAGGCGCTCGAGAGATGAGTTAGCAGTTAAGAGTGCATAGTGTTCTTGCAGAGGACCTGAGTTCCAAACTTGACCTATAACTCTAGATCCAGGGGGTCTGATGCCCACTTCTGCCCTCTGTGGGCATTACACTCATGTGTACAACCTCCTCCCTCCCACACACACACACACACATATAGCCATAAGTAAAAACAAATCTTAAGACATCAGTGGTGCTCCTTTGCCTCCTAAGCCACGCTTGCTCATGACACATGACAAAGCTGTTGGGGCTTCTGATCAAATTAGACTATCAAATCCTTATTTTTTACACTTATTTACTGCTCTTTGAACCCAGATTTTTGTGTATTACCTTTCATCTTCAAAATAACAATAATACATGCCAAATATGGAAAACCTATGAAATGCAAAAGCTTTGAAAGAATTACTAACAATAATTAGCTTAGTAATTTTGAATTCTAATTCACTTCATTTTTCCAGTGCTCTTAACTGCTGAGCCATCTAATAACCACTGTAGCTCATTGGTTATTAAAATTCTGATACTTCCTTCCTCATACTAAAACTTTACATAGAACAATAAGGAGTTTTCTCAACTCTAATAGGGCATTCCAATAACCTAAGCTTTATTATTTTTTTTTATATGTAGGAGTATATTGCCTGCATGTATGTAAGTGCACTCATGTTGTCCAATGCTCATGGAGGCCAAAAGAGGGCACTGGATCCTCTGGAACTGGAGTTACAGATGGTTGTTAGCTGCCATGTGAATCCCGGGACTCAAACCCTGGCCTTCTGTAAGAGCAACCATCTCTTCAGCTCTTATTATATTATTTTAAAAGGAGTTTCCTTCATAATTAAAAAAAAAGTTTGCAGTTTCTTACATTTTTACCAATTTACTTGTGTTTAGTTAAATCTGAATATGAAAAGCCAGAATTAATATGTTGACTTTTTAAAAAACCTAGAGATCATTTCAATTTGCACCAAACTGCTTTAAACAGCAAATGCAGAATTCTCTATATTACCTCTAAACTAAATCAGATCAAGCTAAAATTAAACTGAAAATATGAATATATCAATTCTTTTAGTAACTATTTCCCATCCCTAAATAATTAATGTAAGCCCCTGTCACTCATTTAGAGATGAGATTCTAACAGTGACTTGCCCTAGTGACTTGCCCTAAAACATTCAATTTGTGTCCTGGTAATAAAACCAGAATGCGTGTACTCTGAAGGCTTACCATCTAGCATTAACAAAGATCAGATGCCAAAACAACCCGAAACGACCCTTCCCACCTATTACAAAGCAATCCTTCTTCCAGAACTCAATGAAAAACTATCTTCCTTGGAAAACACCTATGAAACTTTAAACTTTTAAGATAAGGGACTAGAGAGATAGCGCAGCAGTTAAGAGCACAGGCTGTTCTTGCAGAAGACTGGGGTTCAAATCCCAGCACCCACATGGCATCTAACAGCCCTCTGTAACTACAGTTCCAAGGAATTTGATACCCTCTTCTGTCCTCCATGGGCACTGTACAACGCAGGTGTACTAACACACATGCAGGCCAACACTCATACACATAAAATAAAAATAAGTTAATTTAAACAGATAAAATAATTCATTGTCTCCCATAAAACTATTTTTCTAGGAAAAAACACTGAGAAACAGCATGATTATCCTTATTGATGAGATCATTTCTATACTTGGTAAAAGTACATAAAACATAATCCTTCCATTATTGCTTTATCAAAAAGTCTTTCCTTCAAAGTCCATAGAGGACTGTGGCCACCATTTTATAGATTTAGTTTGCAAGGTCAGTTTTTTCCAGTTTCCAAATTAATCAGGAGAATATGGTGAGAAAGGCCAGGTCTACTCAGATGTGTTCAACCTGCAGCCTGAAAGCTATATGGGTCCCAGGACGATGGTGAGTACAGATGACAATACCATGTCACTGTGTTAAAAGACTGGACATTTCTGAATGCCATTCACATTAGCACAAGCCAAGGAAGATATAGACAGCAACCAGAACTCATAGGCAGAGGGTGTAGCTCAGTGGCAGGGCACTTTCCCAGTGTGTGAGACCCTAGGTTTGATATGTAGCATTGGAAATAAAGACATTAAAATGGAGCATTAATGGTCTTTGGTATCATACATTGGAATCCTAGTTGTGTCACTTAATTCAGTGGAATCCCATTCAAATGGGAAAGCTCCATGGGATTGCCCGAAATTTTTTTTCTCATCTGCAATGTTGATAGAAAAGAAAAGAATTCCTCCTTCATGGCAGTATTTTAGGATTAAATGAGAAAGAATCTAAAGGATTTAGCACATTGTCCAGCATACAGAAAGCAGGCAACTACGCGACCTTATTTTGA